GGAATATTAGTGTGTGTATGATACAAAAATACAATCCAAACAATATTGTAAAAGGCTTGTTAACAATTATTTTATCAATAAATTGAACCCTTGTGATACTATTCCTAGTTGCAGTTTACAACAAGCTCAGAAGAGCAATTATGAAATAAGCTTACTGAAAAATAGTTTTTGAAACATGATTGAAGTATGTGGCATTTTTAATATACTAATTAAATTACATTTTTTAAACACAAATTGTATATTATTTTTATTTAATTTTATAAAATTACACTGATAAAAACTATTGCGATCATTAGACTTTTACAATCACATTTGTAAAACTTTGTATAAGCATTATTTTAAAAGTATTGATAATTTCCATTAAAATAACCCCATCATAAGTATCCTTATGAAATGTTGTAGAAAATTCTTTATTATAACTTTATTTTAAAATGTAGTTATATTTTGATTATGGCTTGGTTTGTTGGGATATATTTTCTATTTATTTGCATATTTTGTGATTTTATTATACCCTCCACCACCATAAGTGGTGATAGAAGGTGCATATAAGTTTGTCAATCATTTGTGACCCAACAAAGTATATATATTCTGGGTCCTTATCAAATTCTGAGTCGATCTAGCTATGTCCGTCTGTCTGTCTGGTTAAAACACGCTCACGTTAAAACTAAGCAAATTAAATCAAGCAAATTCACTGAAAATATTCATTGTTGTCCTAAGATTTTTTCGTAATTCTTAAGTCGTTTTCTCAGAAACTACAAAAAATAATTCGATGAATTTTGTCACATGTTATTTTTTACTATAACATATATATTTAAGATTCGGCATAGCCGAATATAGCACTTGAACTTGTTTTTTATTTGTCTCCAACCAATGAAAACAAACAGCTGATTATGATAAATAACCGATAAAAATTAGAGATGACATTCATTCATTCGTATGTTATTCAAACGTAATTTGTATGACCAATCATGTATGTAATTGGGGGTTGAATGATGAATGAGAGCGTGAATTACGAATAATTGCATAATGTGAACGGGGTATTAATGCCTATGTTATAAATTGGTGGATTACAAATAGTGGTCGTAGCACATCTCATTTAATGTAAACTTATATACATCATTGTTCAATTCACAATCGATGTTGTAGCGTTGTATGCGTAGTATGTCAGCAGCTGCTACAGTACATAGTCATAACAAACTCTTACGACAATTTTTAATACATATGTTTTTCGAATGTTGTAAGAAAGTTTAGTGTTGTCTATTGTTTATTTCAGCATATAAATAAAAAATTCAATTCAAAATAAAAGAATTTAAAATTCAAAGAAATTAATTTGGTTTATTTTGATTGTTTAATTAATTTAATATTATTTGCTTTTTTATACCCACCATCAAAAAAGATGGGGGGTATATTGATTTTGTCATTCCGTTTGTAACACATCGAAATATTGGTCATAGACAAAAGTATATATATTCTGGGTCCTCATTAAATTCTAAGACGATCTAGCCATGTCTGTCCGTCTGTCTGTTGAAAGCACGATAGAGTCCGAATGGAAAGAGCTAAAGGGTTGAAATTTTACATAAGTATTTCTTATAGGTAAGGTTTGTTTGGTATTGAAAATGGGCAATATCGGTCCACGTTTTCGGATAGCCCCCATACAAGTGGCCCCTCGAAAAGCAGCTTTAACAGCCATAACTTGTTTAAAAATACGAATATAGCGATGAAATTCGACATAAGTAAGTTTCTTGTTATCCAAAATCACATCGGTCCATAAATGACCCTACCCCCCATATAAGGTCCCCTTCAGAAAATGACTTTAACGCTCATTACTGGCTTAAAAATACTAGTATATAGATGAAATTCGACATAAGTAAGTTTCATACGAGTCAAAAATCTATCTAAAAAATTTTATAAGGATCGGTCCATGATTGACCCTACCCCCCATATAAGGTCCCCTTCAGAAAATTACTGCAACGCTCATTAATGACTTAAAAATACGAGTGTAGCGATGAAATTCTACACAAATAAATTTAATACAAACCAAATTCTATCTACAAAATTTTATGAGGATCGACCCATAATTGACCCTACTCCCCTATTTAAGGTCCCCTTCAGAAAAATAGTTTCATTCGAGTCAAACGAGGCTTGATGGTGGGTATATAAGATTCGGCATAGCCGAATATAACACTCTTACTTGTTAACTTTTGACATTGTTATGTATGTATGTTTGTTTGATAGTTTTTTTTCATTGAGAACATAAACTTATAACTTGCTGCAAAGTTCTGTTCACAATCACTGTTACTACACCTTAGTAGGTACAATATACAACTTGATTGTGAATTGAACAAGTGTGTATTACATATGTATTTAAGAAACAAAAATATTTTAAGTAAAATAATATCCAGTAAGGGAAAACTTATTCGGATAAAGCTTAAAATTTTGTAATGATAATTGTACTGTGTTCAGATAGTATACTACAAAAAACCTAGTTGTTTACAAATATGTGTTAACAAAAATGCTTTATTTGTTTTCAGAAAGCTGATTTGGCTGTGGCTCCCATGACTATAACGCATGCACGGGAAAGTGTTATAGATTTTACGAAACCATTTATGAATCTAGGCATAAGTATTCTTTTTAAGGTTCCAACAACACCACCAACGAAATTATTTTCGTTTATGAATCCCTTGGCATTTGACATATGGCTTTATGTATTGGCGGCATATTTTTTAGTTTCTTGTACCATCTATGTAGTAGCGAAATTTTCACCGATTGAGCATAACAGGAATAGGACCAACATATGCATTAATAGTAAAAATGCTGATTTCAACTTAGCAAATAGTTTTTGGTTCACTATTGGTACCTTAATGCAGCAAGGTTCTGACTTGTCTCCACGAGCCATTTCGACACGTATAATAAGTGCTATTTGGTGGTTCTTCACACTTATAATTATTGCTTCGTATACGGCGAATTTGGCAGCATTTTTAACAGTTGAACGTATGACTACTCCCATTGAAAATGCTGAAGACTTGGCTAGTCAAACAGAAATTTCGTACGGTACTTTGGATAGTGGCTCGACAATGACCTTTTTTCGAGATTCCCTCATTGAAACGTACCGTAAAATGTGGCGTAATATGGATAATAAAAAGAAGCCTAGTGCCCTAACTAGCACCTATGATGAAGGTATCAAAAGAGTGAAAGAGAGCAACTACGCCTTTCTAATGGAATCGACAATGCTGGATTTCATTGTACAACGGGATTGCAATTTAACACAAATTGGTGGTCTACTAGACACTAAAGGTAAAGAATTGACAAAAATAAATAAGAGGGTATAGTTACATTCAAACCCATTTATAGCGAAGTTCGTAATATTACGGGTGATGTTTTTGAAGATCAATAAATGAAGTGGCACAACATGAATTTATTTTTTTTTTTTTAATTTATATTTTTTTAAACAAAGCTGAAGATTTTCTTATGATTTCAATACATAATTGTTGAAGTTTGTTATAAAAAAGAAAATATGTATGAAATTGTACTTGAAGGATTCCTTTCCTTTTATTGGATTCGTTATGACTAACGTGACCATATGGTTATTGAATAAAAGGGGGATCCGAGTGATTAGAAAGAGGGATTGGAAGATAATATTTTGAAAAAGTGAGATTTTGAAAATTTCCATTCATTAAATCAGGAATTGATAAAACTTAATAAAAAATACGAATTAACAATCAAAACCTTGTAATAAATACATACATATGTATATCGATATTAATATGAGCATCTGGGTGATTTTCTGAAGCTTTATTTATCAAAGAAACATATTCGTTTAAGTGATTTTCGGATTTTCGTGGACCCTATATGGGAGCTATAACCAATTGATTCATATATAGACGAAACATATTTGTGTCGAATTTTATCAAGATACCTTTATTTGACAATTAAATATGTGCGTTTAGTTTAAGTGATTGCCGGAAGTGAGCCTTATATGGGAGCTATGACTAATAATGGACCGATCCGAAAAGAAATTTGGTAGAATGATTTGTATGTACACAAAACATATTCAGCTCGAATTTTATCACAAAAGCTTTATTTATCAATGAAATATGTGCGTTTAAGTGATTTTTGGAAGTGGACCTTACATGGGAGCTATGACCAATTGTGGACCGACTGATCGTTGGTAGTATGATTTCTATTCATATTATATTTGTATGCACAAATATGACTTGAATGTCCAAAATTCTCATATTAACACAAATATCGTGATGAAATCACAAATTTTGTAAAGCTGAAGCGTCTACATTAAAATGTTACCGTTGTGAAGGTGTTGGCCATGTCAAAAAGTTTTGTAACGCGCCTATAAAATGCCTCAAATGTCACCAAGAAGGTCATGTACAGAATATGTGCCCAGCCAAAAATAAAAATGTTACAATGAATTCGATGCCAAGTAATTCCCGTAATACTGTGAAAAACAATACTACCACTGATAACTGATGTTAAATTGTGGGCTAAAGAAGCTACAGTTATCCCTTCAAATTACGTTGGTTTTATATCTACCTATAATAACTTTCCTAAGGCCACAAGTATATTCATTGAAAATAAACAAAATAAATTTGGTGCTGTTTTACCAAACTGCGTAATACATAATTATACTGGTGAATTATCCATTTCTGTAATGAATCCAACTCAACATGACATGACAATGAAACAATAACTAGCGGTAAAATATGCGTTAAACAAAAAAATAAACAAGTTAGAGTGCTATATTCGGCTGAGCCGAATCTTAAATACCCTCCACCAGCTACTTTTATATTAATACTTTTTTAATTAATTAAATATTTGTAGAAATAAGCTTTCTCATGTATTAAATAGAAAAACCCCAAGATTTAGACAGCTTAAACCCGTTACATTTCCAAAATTTATTGAACATTACATTTTCTTTTATATTTTTATAGCACCCTTAAATATGCTTTAACGATATTTAATAATGTGCATGTATGCATGTTTGTGAAAGATTTAAGGATTTTCAAAAACCATATATATAATTTTGTTCTACACAAATTGATAATGCAACTAGTTAAATACGGTTAAAGTGCTTTTAGGGGCAGGACCTAGTATGGGAGATATGACCAATTATAGACCGATCGTAAAAAAAATCTTTAAGCTAAATTTCTGTACATAAAACAACATTTCAGTCAAATTTTGTATCTATATCGTAATTTAGTAATAAGTAATGTGTGTTCAAGTGATTTTCTGAAAGGAACCTTGCATAGGACCAGTGTTGCCATAACGGCATTTAAAGTGCAATTCTAGCACTTTTTTTACGGCGGCTGCACTTATTTTTTAGAAAAAAGTGCTAGATGCTTTTTAGCACTTTTTCGTGTTTTGCTAGAAATTTTTAGCATTAAAAGTGCATTTTTGGCATTTTTTCTTCTATTTTGCATTTTTTTATAATTAAAGAACTTTAAAGATTAATTTCTATAGAGAACTGCAAAAATTTAGTTTTGAGATGTGAAATTTTAAGAAATTCTCACGAAAACTTTTTGTATATGTTTATTGTAATTTATAATTTACACTATAAATTAAACTTAGAAGTGAATTATTTTAAATATTATTATGCAATAATCGTAACAAATATTTGAAAAAACAAGTAAGAGTGATATATTCGGCTGTGCAGAATCTTATATACCCTACCCAATTTTATAAAATTCAAATTTATTTCATTTTCCCGACTATATCATTATTATAGCAATAGCAAAACAAAATAAACAACAACAACGCTAAACGAAATAAACACACAAAAAACAAAATACACAAGGCAGTAAAACCAACAGACATCCAAACATACGAAACGAAATACACAAAAAAACAAAAACAAAATACACAACGCAATGAAACCAACAGACATCCAAACATACGAATACACTAAGAAACAAAAACAATATACACAAGGCAACCCTACAAACATTTTCTATTGCGGAAGTTACCCGTGTGAAACTTCCAAACTAAAAGCTCGCCAGCGATGTTGCGGATGTATAAGAATTCTTGTCACCAGTCGGGAAGAACTGATGCCGAGCTGGGGAACGTCTAAGAGTAACGTGGAAGATACTTCTGGAAGACCCGCAGAAGAAACTTCTAGATGACTCTTGGAAGTAAGGTATTGCCAAAGACTCTTCTAGATGTAACTGGGAAGTCACTTCATGAAGTGATAACTTGGTATCATCTAGAAGTGTTCCTATCTTATCTTCTAAAAGAAGAGTTTTCTCTTCTTCTAGAAGAAAAGTATGTCTTCTAGAAGATGAGTTTTCTCTTCTTCTAGAAGATGAGTATTCTCGTCTTCCAGAAGATGAGTTTTCTCTTCTTCTATTTCTATACTCACCAAAATAAAATCTATAAAAATAAGTCTAAATAAAATGAAATTTTATAGTTTTTATTGAAATAATTAAAATTAAAATAGTAGAAACAAGTAAGAGTGTTATATTCGGCTATGCCGAATCTTATATACCCACCATCAAACCTCGTTTGACTCGAATGAAACTTACTTATGTTGAATTTCATCTATATATTCGTATTTTTAGGCCAGTTATAAGCGTTAAAGTAATTTTCTGAAGGGGACCTTATATAGGGGGGTAGGGTCAATTATGGGTCGATCCTCATAAAATTTGGTAGACAGAATTTGGTTCGTATAAAATTTATTTGTGTCGAATTTCATCGCTATACTCGTATTTTTAAGTCATTAATGAGCGTTGCAGTCATTTTCTGAAGGGGACCTTATATAGGGGGTAGGGTCAATCATGGACCGATCAACATAAAATTTTTTAGATAGATTTTGACTCATATGAAACTTACTTATGTCGAATTTCATCTATATACTAGAATTTTTAAGCCAGTAATGAGCGTTAAAGTCATTTTCTGAAGGGGACCTTATATGGGGGTAGGGTCAATTATGGACCGATCAACATAAAATTTTTTAGATAGATTTTGACTCATATGAAACTTACTTATGTCGAATTTCATCTATATACTAGAATTTTTAAGCCAGTAATGAGCGTTAAAGTCATTTCCTGAAGGGGACCTTATATGGGGGGTAGGGTCAATTATGGACCGATCCTCATAAAATTTTGCATAGTGATTTTGAATCATAAGATACTTACTTATGTCGAATTTCATCGCTATATTCGTATTTTTAAACAAGTTATGGCTGTTAAAGCTGCTTTTCGAGGGGACACTTGTATGGGGGCTATACGAAAACGTGGACCTATATTGCCCATTTTCAATACCAACAAACCTTACCTGTAAGAAATATTTATGTGAAATTTCAACTCTCTAGCTCTTTCCATTCGGACTCTATCGTGCTTTCAACAGACAGACAGACAGACGGACGGACGGACAGACATGGCTAGATCGTCTTAGAATTTAATGAGGACCCAGAATATATATACTTTTGTGGGTCTATGACCAATATTTCGATGTGTTACAAACGGAATGACAAAATCAATATACCCCCCATCTTTTTTGATGGTGGGTATAAAAATAATTGATTTAACAAAAAAAGTAATATATGTACATTAGACCGACTCACAAAAAATGGTGCTTGAGTTACTCCCCTCATAATATTCGCTCTTATGTAATATGATGTTACCCAAAATATTTTCGGTTAAGTGTTGTCCATTCGTGAGCTGGACAGTTTTAAAGAAAATATCGTATGGGAACACGATTCTTCATGTTAAATTAAATATTTTAACCCAGCTTCAAAAAATCTTTGTTATGTTTTATAATGGTTCCCAAAATATTTCTAGTCTCTCGATGGCCGTTCGTGAGCTGAACCGGTTACAAAAAAGTCCCTTTTTAGTTATTTTGTTTTAAATTATACAGTATTTCTTAAACAATATATATAGTATGTGGTATCAGTTGAAAGGTTTTTTGAAGCATACATTTTATTTTTCTTAGTGAAAAGCCTAACAATTTAAATATTTTGGAATATGACAATTATAAGCAGACGGTTATTTATGATTAATACATCATTGGACGCGGCTTTAAAATATCTTTTAAACGATACCCCGTATTGGATATTTTGTTTCAAAACAAACAAAAATTTAAAAAAAATAATTCCAAAATACCTTTTTTTAATTTGGTCCAGCTCACGAACGGTCATCCCTAGATTTAAAATATTTTGGGAATCATCATAAAACAAAGCAAGGAACATTTTGAGAGGGGTAACAAAAACACGTTTTTGCTTTCCATACAGAGTGAGTCGGTCTAATGTACATATGTATCAAAAATTTAGAATAATTACCTTATAATAAGATAATTTTCAGGAAATCTGTATTAATATTCCAACTGCTGACTGGTGTACTTCCAAAAATTGTAAAACGTTGGACTCTAAAATATTTTTGTAATTCTTCATAAATTTTATGATCAATCCATCAAATTGTAAGAGTTATATTTTGGAACGCATTAATCCTTCAACAAAATAAATAAAAATAATGTTATAATTAATATTGAATATACATACTTTTGTATTTATTGAAATTACCTCTTATACTTTAGGAAGCAATAAAATAGGATTCTCTTATGTCCAATACATTTACCACCAAAGTTTAAACTGTCAGATCCATTTTTTACATTTTCTGCAAATAATCGACATTTTTAATGGAACCGCGTGATGAAATAAGACATATATAACTATAACTAACCAGATCCCTTTTTTATATTTTAATTCGGTTAGAAGTATTTTAATAGGGGGTACAATATTAGCTACTACTTTCTAAAAAAATAAAATAATTAAACATTCATTAATTAATTTATTGTTTTTAATCAATAAAAACATTACCTTTCATGAACATTTTTTAAATAACTTGGAATTAAACCATCTATAAAGATTGGAAATTACGAGCCATGGATTATTTTTAAAATTATTTACAGTCACTAACACTAATACTGCAATACTATTTTGCTCTCTTCTAATTAAGGAGTTATACACGTTCAAAAACTATCTACTTAGGTTTAATATCTTGGGAACGGCATGCTCAATATTAAGAATATTAGTATCATATGATAGGTCATAGAAAGACCTGGTGTTAATAACTAAGAAAGTACCTATAATTAGAATAATTAAATCCAAAGCTATATGAAAATTAATAAAATTGTATTTATTTAAAAAAGGTGGGTTTAAAAATATCTGATTTCAATATTAAATATCATATATGGGCAATTTCGTGTCGAGTGACCCAAGTCAAAAATTATTTATGTATAAAACAGTAGTATTAATTTCAATATAATGATTCCAGATAGCGTTTGAATACTTTAAGTAAAACTTTTAATGTATTTTGTTTTTGTTACGATAATGAAATACAAATAAAATTTTAGCTCAATGTGATCATACGTAATCTAGAAACAGGACCTAAACGCGCTAATAGTTTAAAAAATATTGAAAGATAAGATTTAACTCAAATAAATCTAAATAGGTTAAAAATGCAATGTTTATCAAATGAAAGCCGAAACGTACAACTTGAAAAAGTCTTTAAATGCTTATAACTCCTAAACCAATTAAGATATTAGACTTCGTTTAAAAATAATGGAAATGGAAGCCGTTTAGAGTTGTTAACTTATTCCTAAAATAGTATGTTGATGGCAGATACGCTCCTGGTCAACTTTATAAAATTTGTCTTATTTTTTGCTCTTATGTTTTGTTTCTTAAAAAACCGTAATAAATTTCTAAAAGTAATGCATATATATTTACATACAATATTATATCAATATTTACATATTTAAAATTTGTTTATTACTTTTCCTCATTACTTTGTTCATACTTGTAACTATACATACTTACGTACATAAAAAGTCTCCACTTTTTACTTGCATTCTCTGAGTGCAATATTTTCATAATGCAATATCTCAGAGTACACTATCTCAGAGACATAGTTATATATGTATGATAGATTGTATTATTTAAACATATTTAACTACCTGATTGTAAATATATATGCATTACGGTTTTTGGGCTATTTTATGTAAATTTTTGTATTAACTCTTGTATTGTTTTAAAAGAAATTATTTTGTCATTCGATTTTTAGCACTTCAATAAAGAAGTTAGCTTATAATAATTTTCGCTTTTTTTTTGCATTTTCATTGCCTGCAAAAACTATTGCAGACACAAACATTGGTGACCCCGACGTGATCGGTTTTATTATTGTATATCAATTCGGATATTGTTAATTAATATCAATTCGGATATTAATTATTTTATTGTAGTCCATCTTTGTGAATTCGTCGTGTCGTTTTCGTTAGATCTGTGTTGCGTTCTTGTTACTCCATAGACGATATACATTTTGTTCGCCATGTCAACGAATCAACCTGAAAAATCTGCCGACATCGAGGAAGCAGAACATTCGCAGAACTTATTGCCCTTTAAAACAAAAGCTACTGCAATGATAAAGCAGCTAGAGAATTTGAACCAAACTTTAACCCCATCTCAGCTAAAGGAGTATGATGACGCGGAGCTGTCCGTTCGCTTGAGCTACATCGAGGAGGTTAATAAAAGCTATGAAATGGCACAAAGTATCATCGAAGAAAATGAAATCAGCGAGTTGGATGGTACTGATCGCATGTGTTTCGTCTCGTTGTAGCTTGATGTTAAATCTAAGTTAACTCGCCAACTCAATGCCACTCGTAAGTTTGATTCAAACCCGCGTAGTTCAACATTGCGCCAATTTTCGCTCGATGAGTCGCCATATTCTCAAACATCGCTTCGTAAAACAAAAGTTCCCGAAATTCAATTACCAAAATTCGTTGGTGCTTATTCGGAATGGCCAAATTTCTTTTCGTTATTCAAGACCGTTATACATAACAACAATGATTTAAGCAAACTAGAAAAATTCCACTATTTACGTGCAAGTTTAGGCGAAGCTGCCCTCGACACTATAGTTTCATTGGAACTCAACGATGCAAATTATGAGGAAGCTTTGTTATTGTTAAAAAATCGTTTTGACAATAAGCTATTAAATTTCCAAACTCACATCAAAGAGATATTTTCCTTAAATTGTGTTGAAAACGGTTCAGCTGTTAGCTTACGTCGTTTGAGTGATAAATTAAATGCACATTTACGTGCTATGCAAACGATCGGTAATCAACAACAAATTGCCGACGGGCTTTTAATTTATTTAGTGTCAACAAAATTGGACACGAAGACTCGAATGAAATGGGAGGAGAACTTGTCAATTAATGAGTTACCAACCTGGAACTCAATGTCAACATTTTTAGAACGCAGGTGTCGTATGGTTGAGAATTTAGAAAACTCAGCTTTAAGTAAGTCCTCAAACCCACCTGGCTCCAAAAAACTTCATCAACAATATCGTCATGTTCATGTCTCTACCGCCACTTCGTCGGCTTTGTGCACATTTTGCGATTCCAAAGATCATTTCATCACTAAATGTTCACTTTTTGGAAATTTGTCCCCTTCCCTCCGTTTTAAAGAAGCAAAAAGACTGAGGTTATGCCTAAATTGTTTAAAAAAAGGGCATATGCTCAACAGCTGTATCTCAGGTAATTGCCAACAGTGTTCTTTGAAACACCACACAATGTTGCACATCGAGAAGGTTAAGACAGATGAACCCACAAAATCTTCGGCGGATCAAACAGCTCCAACTACTTCGCAAGCAGTACTGATTTCTTCTGGCCCACCTCATTTCACAAAGACGCCATCCTCGAATGTTTTGCTGGCTACTGCAATTGTTATGGTAAAAAATCAATTCGGATTTTTTGTACCTTGTCGTATTATATTAGATTCTGCATCGCAACTCAGCCTAATCACAAGACGCTTCGTAAATCAACTTTGTTTAAAATGCAATCGGATTCAGGCAAGTATCTCTGGAATTGGCGATGGAGGTTATACTATAGATAAATCTGTTGATATTGTAATAAAATCTTTACATGGAGATTATTCAACCACGCTAACTGCGATGGTCGTCCCTAGCATAACGGATTACCAACCTGATTTTAACAGAAATAGACCAGAATGGAATATTCCCAAAAATATAGAGCTCGCAGATCCCTCTTTTGACAAATGTGGTCGTATCGATGGTTTAATAGGTGCCGAGTTGTTTTTTGATTTAATGTCAGTTGGACAAGTCAAATTAGCTGATAATCTACCGGTGCTGCAAAAAACATTAATAGGTTGGGTAGTTGCTGGTGGTGGTTTTCGTACCCAACATTACAGGTCGTTGGCTGTCAGTTGTAATACATTCGAGCAAGAGAATCAATTGTGTTCCATCATAAAAGGTTTTTGGGAAGTTGAAAACAATTTTGAAATCAATCCACTATCAATTGAAGACATTCATTGCGAAAATCACTTTTTGGAAAACACAGTCCGTCTTAATACTGGCGAGTTTTCTGTGCGGTTACCTCAGATCGAAGGGCGTGGTGCGGATTCACTTGGCGAGTCGTATAGCCGAGCTCTACATCGATTTAAGACTCTGGAAAGGAAACTCAAAAAGCTCCCGGATATTAAAGCACAATATGCAGAATTTATGAGTGAGTACATTGCATTAAATCACATGTCGTTAATTTCTCCACAGAGCGAACCAAAGAAATATTTTCTCCCACATCACTGTGTGCATAAAATAGACAGCACATCTACAAAATTAAGGGTCGTTTTTGACGGCTCTGCAAAAACAACCAGTGGTTTGTCGCTCAACGATATTTTGTACGCTGGTCCAACTATTCAGCCCAAACTATTTAACACCCTATTGCGGTATCGGTTTTTTAAGGTTGCCCTAAGTGGAGACATTTGTAAAATGTACAGGTGTGTTCGATTGTCTTACCCAGATGACTATTTACAATGTATACTGTGGAGAGCAGATGAAAGTGAGGAGATAAAGACATACAAATTAAACACTGTTACCTACGGTACAAAGCCCGCTGCATTTTTGGCAATCCGCACCATGCACCAACTCGCAACTGAAGAAGAAGGTAAATTTCCATTGGCTGCTAAAATAGTAAGACGTGACTTTTATGTAGATGACATGATTTCTGGTGGTGACACTGTCGAAGAGGCTATGGAGATAAGGCAACAGGTAGCAGCTTTACTACAAACTGGCAATTTTTTCATAAGGAAATGGTGTTCAAATGTTCCTGCAGTCTTGAATGAAGTACCTCCAGATCAATGTGAACAATTTTTAAAATTTAAAGACGGAACAGATGTTACCAAAACACTTGGACTTGTTTGGGATCCAAAGAGTGATAACTTCATCTTTTCGTTTACACCTGTTGATAATTGTAAAGTTATAAATAAACGATCCATTTTATCATCAATTGCTCGTCTATATGACCCTCTCGGTTTAATTGGTCCAGTCATCACAAAGGCCAAAATCTTCATGCAGCATTTATGGAAGCTTCAACTACAGTGGGATGAAAGTCTCCCACAATCGTTACATTTGTCATGGCTCGAATATATTTCGAAATTTGATTCTATCCATTATTTCACATTTCCTCGCTATGTTTCAACGCCAAATTCAAAAATAGAAATTCATGCATTTTGTGATGCCAGCCTAGCTGCTTATGGTGTTTGCGTATACATTCGTACTGAACTCGATGGTGTCGTAAAGTTATCATTGCTGTGCTCTAAGTCGAGAGTTTCACCCCTCAAAAGTTTAACGGTACCAAAACTTGAGCTTTCTGCAGCGTGTCTTCTAGCTGAACTCGTGGATGTAATTATCAATACCTTACCGTTCGATTGTGTTGTACACTGTTGGTCAGATTCCATGGTAGTGCTGTCGTGGCTTCGAGAGCAGCCATCAAATTTCAACGTTTTCGTTTCAAATAGAGTTTCTCGTATACAAACACTCACTAGTCAAATGTCGTGGCATTATGTTCCTACAAAGTTAAATCCAGCTGACATCTTATCAAGAGGTGCATCGCCTGAAGAACTGTTAAATTCTACCCTATGGAGTTGTGGACCAAATTTTTTGCGTCATGAATCATCAATGTGGCCAGATAGTGTCGAGTTTTTAGCTGAACTACCTGAACGACGTCGTAACATATTGGTAGCGGTTTCGCTGTCGGATTTGTCGATACAATGTAAGTATCACAATTCATTTTTAAAAATGCAACGAATATTTGCGTATGTTTTTAAATTTATATATTCCAAATCGAGAGGCAAAAATGCAGTTTTAACACCAAGTGACATCAAAAATGGAACACAACTTTTAATCAAAAATATTCAGCTAACACATTTTGCTCCTGAATACAAAGTATTAAAAGCAAATCAAAACATATCGTCGTCTAGCAAGCTTTTTTCGTTGATGCCCATAATCGATTCCATTGGCTTAATTCGTGTCGGTGGCCGACTTCAGCACTCAATTCTAGATTTTGATGCACGCCATCCAGTCATTCTACCCAAACAACACCCATTTACAAAGTCGTTGGTAATGTATTATCACCAGAAGCTGTTACATGCTGGCCCACAATGTTTGTTGGCTTCAATTCGTCAGCAGTATTGGCCCCTTGGAGGACGAAAACTTATTAGCTCCATAATTTCTAAGTGCTTGCGTTGTTATAAATTGAAGCCAAAATTGAGCCAGCACGTTATGGGATGCCTACCACCCGATCGAGTCAGGCCAAATAATGCTTTTCATACAACTGGAGTGGATTATTGTGGGCCGTTTTATTATAAATCTGAAGTGAGAAATCGTCCACCAGTTAAATGCTATATATCGATTTTTATATGCTTTTCGACAAAAGCGTCTCATTTGGAGGTCGTCCAAGATTTATCGACGTCATCGTTTTTATCTGCCTTGCGTCGTTTTGTTGCGATTAGGGGCAAACCCAAGGTAATTTGGTCGGATAACGCAACAAATTTCGTGGGAGCCAAAAATGAGCTGGCTGAGTTAAAACAGCTATTTTTCAGCCAATCACATCAGAAAGCGCTCCAGCAGCAATGCCTTGAAGATGGAATAGAATGGTCATTTATCCCTCCTAGGTCGCCCCACTTTGGTGGATTGTGGGAGGCGGCTGTTAAGTCTGCAAAATTACACTTCTATCGCACAGTTGGCCTCAATAAATTGACGTTTGATGAGTTGCGCACCTTAATATGTGAAATATCTGCAATTTTAAATTCTCGCCCGCTATGCCCCATTTCGGAAGATCCCAATGATCTTGAGGTTCTGACACCGGGGCACTTTCTAATTGGTGGCCCTCTAATTTCCATAGTTGAACCCAGTATAACCGATTTAGACATAAGCCGTTTGAGTAGATGGCAAAGAGTTTGTCAAATGAAGCAGATTTTTTGGCAAAGGTGGAGCAACTCCTATCTAACTTTACTACAAGAGCGCACAAAGTGGCGTGAACAAACTGAAAATATCGTTATTGGATCAATGGTCTTATTGAAAGATGAAAATCAACAGCCCTTAAAATGGCAAATAGGTCGTATTACTGACGTCATACGCGGTGATGATAATGTAGTTCGTGTAGTGATGGTTCAAACTAGCAACGGATTAATGAAGCGTGCTGTATCAAAGGTAGCAGTCTTGCCAATAGACTCATTGGTTGAAAGCCGTAGTCTTCCAACGGGGGGAGGATGTTGATGGCAGATACGCTCCTGGTCAACTTTATAAAATTTGTCTTATTTTTTGCTCTTATGTTTTGTTTCTTAAAAAACCGTAATAAATTTCTAAAAGTAATGCATATATATTTACATACAATATTATATCAATATTTACATATTTAAAATTTGTTTATTACTTTTCCTCATTACTTTGTTCATACTTGTAACTATACATACTTACGTACATAAAAAGTCTCCACTTTTTACTTGCATTCTCTGAGTGCAATATTTTCATAATGCAATATCTCAGAGTACACTATCTCAGAGACATAGTTATATATGTATGATAGATTGTATTATTTAAACATATTTAACTACCTGATTGTAAATATATATGCATTACGGTTTTTGGGCTATTTTATGTAAATTTTTGTATTAACTCTTGTATTGTTTTAAAAGAAATTATTTTGTCATTCGATTTTTAGCACTTCAATAAAGAAGTTAGCTTATAATAATTTTCGCTTTTTTTTTTGCATTTTCATTGCCTGCAAAAACTATTGCAGACACAAACATAGTATTTTAATGTAAAATATGACAACTTACTTTTTAATTTAATTTATATAACCCTTGAAGATAATTACTTTTTGGTATATATTTAATAAACTTCGCCAATTAACAAAACCTTATTAAATGTTTATTAACAGTTGACTTTTAACCCAATACTGTCATATTGTTTTTTATTACTTAAGATTCACATTATATTAATTACACTATTTTTCTATGAACATTAAATTCAATAACTCATTTAAGTTTAACAATGAATAATTAAAACTAAACATGACTGGACAAAACACAAAACATCACTGAACTTAGCAAAATTTCTGCATTATTTATTTTTATTTTTTTCGCGTTCACGCTAAAAAATGGAGTATTTATGTATATTTTTTTGTTTTTGTACTCTTCTTACTTTCATCCGGAAGTAACCTAAAACTATACTTTCAGACGGCGAAAACTAGAAATCAATGTATTTTGTTTTTGTAAAATGTGTGCTCTCGTCTGACAACCGTCCAGAAGTGACTAAAATCCACACTTCCAGATGAATAAAATACAACATTAATGTGAACACTCTTCAAACTGTCTTCCAGAAGTGACATAAACCTACAAATCAAGAAGATACAAATTAGGAAACAATGTATTTTGTTATTGTAAAATGTGTGTTCTCACCCAACTCTCATACAGAAGTCACTAAAACGTAAACTTCCAGATGAAAAAAGTTCAACAGTCATGGTTTTTTGTTTAAGCAAAATGGATGCACTCTTCTAACTATCATCCGGAAGTAACTTAAAAGTGTATTTCTAGAAGACGAAAATTCGAAATCAATGTATTTTGTTTTTGTAAAATGTGCGTTCTCGTCTGACAATCGTCCAGAATTGTTTCTGACGTGGCGTCAGGGGTGATGCGCAATAGTTTTGTCTTCTAAATGTTTGAAGGGAATGAAACACACAGCCATCCAAACATACGAAACTGAATACACCAAGAAACAAAAACAATATGGTAGTGAAACACACAGCCAAGGTATATTAATTATAAGGTAGTGTTAACAGAGCAGCTGATTGTTTTTTCTAATACACTTTTGATTTTTTTTATATGTAGTTTGACAGTGTGCTGGTACTTTGAAGTGTAGGCATGCTGTCAAACTCCATATATAAAAAATAAAATGAATTCGCTCCGTATTTCTGAATTCGCCGACGACACTACCTTATAATTAATATATCTTGCACACAGCCATTCAAACATACGAAACGAATTAATCAGAAAAACAAAATACACAACGCAATACACAAGAATAAGCAGTGTTGTTGTTTATTTTTTATGAAATTTTCAGAGGTTGTCTCGGATTTTTGCATATATCTACGTTGTTTATGGGCGGATTTTGCTGATTTTAAATAGGAAACTTCTCGAAAGCATGTCTGATAGAATTATTGAATATTTGGATCCCGAAGATATCTGGGGTCTTCAGAAAACTGATTTCAACAGACAGACGGACATGGATTAATCGACTCCGCTATCTATAAGGATTCAGAATATATATACTTTATAGGGTCGGAAAATTATATTTTGGAAATTACAAACGGAATGACAAACTTATATATACCCTTCTCACGAAGGTGAAGGGTATAATAAGCTAAAAGAGCGTTGTTTTGTTAACAATGTAGTGACTACATGCTAAAGCGGCTAATATCTTCCAAAAACATTTTTTTTTTTTTTAAAAATCATTAAAATTTAAAATATACAATAAAATAAAAATGTATGAACATAAAAAAACAGGTAAAAGTTCAGGAATGCCGAATATTACATACGCACCAACGCAAGACGTTTTACCAAGATTTGCTCATTTATTAGATTTATGCTCAAATTTATATCGTGTATCGATTTTATTTTCGGAATAGGATCTCAATGGATTGGATCACGGACCGAGCTCTAAGAAGGATGTTTTAAAACAAATCATTTTTTCGAATGTATCATAATACTAAAATGTTTTAATAATTTATTGAGACTAAATTTATTTTCTGAAAGAGGATTTATATAGAGGAGAAATTAAAAACTTGCGTATTTGAATATAACCTTCATAATTCATTTGTCACATTAACATTTATATTGTTTCCTAAAAGCTCTTAGAAGTATGAGTAATAAACCTGACATCTATACACCGAGATTTAAGATTATTTCAACTGAATTTTCAATATCTTTGCAATAAGAATACCTTTGCTAAAGTGTTGTGAATAAGACCCATAAAATAGTTTATATAAAAAATAACTAAAACTGTAAATATAAAATTTTTTCTTCCGAATTTAACCCTTTTTTAGCATTCTTTTAATGAATAATTAAAAGATTTGACGTCCTAGATTTTTTAAATACATACTTTTTCTGGTCTTAGACTTCCTAAACAAAGAAAACCATATAGGTTTTATATCCTAAACAAAATCGTTGTTACCTAGTGTTATTAGTTATTTAATATACATATACAGTTAATCTCAAAAATAAGTATACAGAAATACTGACAATTGGTTTTGTTTAAAAAAGGATATTATTTTTTCAAAAATCAAAAAAGTAACACATTTATTTATTAAAAACAATTATGATAATTATTATTCACTACTTTTTTATGGGTTATTTTGGTTACTTGAGTTCTCATTTAAGGTGAAGTTAAATAGGTGCAAAATTTACGTCACAAAAGTAAGTATACAGATAATTTCAATATGTATTTGGCTGTTTGAATGTAATTATTTTATATTAAAATATTCTGTACACAATAACATGGAAAAAATTCACTTTTTGTTCCGAAAAATTGAAATTTTTGGTAATTGATCTGAATATTATTTATAGGAGCATTTTTTTCTATTTAAGAACATCTTACTATTTAAACCTCCGGAGTTTTGGATCGGGTATTCAATAATATCCCTCGTTTGTTCATTATGATACATTGGAAGACGATATTTTAACTTTTAAATTAATTGTTTATTTACAATAATTACAATCCATTGCGGAACATTGCCGTTTTTAACATAGTAGATTTCCTAATGTATATCTTAAAATGCGATATTAATAATATTTGTACTAGTATCCATTAATTAAAACAAGTTTTTTGGTTCCAATCATCCATTACACATTCCTAAATACTACCAATAATCGTCAAATGGTGACCATGTCAATAACTTAAACTACATATCGGCTCTGAAATTAATTATTGTCCAAAATAGTAAGATTTTTATATTAAATCAGGCTCAATTGGTGGTATGAATACGAATTGAACAATTTTGAACACGGATATATCTTAATTTGTTGCTAGAACAAATAAAATGACCGATCCATAAAACATGGTTATTGTATCGAGTATATCAAGATATGATTGGTAGCATTATTGTATGCTTTGGAAATCGGAGTATTTGCAAAACCCTTTTAAATTAAAGAAAATATATAGAATTATCCAAATTTTAAAGTTTATGTTGTAAGTCTTAAGAAATCGGATTTAAATTTCGGGTTTTTAAGAACGTACTATGTTCAAAATGGCCAAATCCATGCATATAACATTAATTTCGAAATAACAACTCTTTTCAAAAGTTAAAAATTCTATTTCCAATGCATCATTTGGAGGGTTCAATGACCCTCAGATCCAAAATCCGGGATCTAAAGTGGAAAAAAATCGTATAAATGAGAAAAAACTGTTCTACTAATTAATTCCGGAGCCAATCGGCCCAAATTTCAAGATTTCGGAACTAAAAGTAGATTTTTTCCAAGTTATTGTGTAAAAAATATTTTATTAAAAAGTAATTATATTAATACAAGTAAAATTTTCATAAATTTTGTTAATATCAATAAACCAAATATATACTGAAATGATCTGTATACTTACTTTTGCGACGTAAATTTTGCACCTTTTTAACTTTAGCTTAAATGAGAACTCAAAGAACCAAAATATGAAGAAAAAAAATGTGTTACTTTATTGTTTTTTGAAAAAATAATATGTTTTTTTAAATAAAACCAATCGTCAGTATTTCTGTATACTTATTTTTGTGATTAACTGTATATGTTGGTATATACTTATTCTTAGGGGCATTAAACAAATTTTCGAACAGGTTTTGTACCTTACCCTTTCCGATTTTGATAAAACTTGGTACACACATTCTTTGTATCAATACGAAGTTAAAAGTTCTTCAAAATTTCAAAATTCATTACGGTTTAGATTTTATCAAGGTTCAAAGTAAGTTTTTTAATTGTGTTAGTGAAAAAACTCACATGTATATATGCGGAGTGAGTTTTTTTACTAACACAATCAAAAATTTACAGTTTGAGTCAACAAATTTGATGTGTGGTCATGTCGCTTAAGGATGATGACATCAAACAACGTCCTTTAATCAATGATATCTCAAAAAGTGTACCTTACATTTTCTTTATTCCTTCACATAAGATTGC